ATTTGGTTGTATTATGATAAGTAACAGCAGTAATAGGATCACTCGCATCATTTTTACCTATTTCTGTGTACCCATACAAAGAATACAATAAATCTTGTAGTCCAACATCCTTCAAGTATGGATCAGTAAGAACGCCCAAACCAAAAACAATAGGAATGTGTGTAAAATATTTATTAGATTTTATTTTCATTTGTGTAACCATATTTGAAAAACTGATATGGTTGCGATAAATATTAAAAAAAATTGAATTCTAAAAACTTGTAAAGCAGCTTGAGTTACAGTTGCATAATAACAACTAGATGAAGAGAGAGAAGCTTCATAAAAAACTTGTAGCATATTCTGTACACAAGTCATAATGTTTCATTCTTCTTCAATTATTCCATACGAGGAAGAAGTAGAACTAAAACTAGAAGTATAGAAATTAAAATTATTTATAAATTTTTTAATACTCTACTCCTACATTTAACATTAAATAGGCGAAATTCTACCTATGATCAATATCTTGTGGAATTATTTTAGCACTCATATTTTATTTTCTACAAAGCTGTTTATATTTTAAGTCTTTTTTCAAGAGCATTGAGAAAATAAGTAATATTCCTAATTCTTTCTATCATTGATCTAATTTTATTACATGAACTTTGCACAATTAAATTCTAAATATGGCACATGCATCTAAATGAAAAAAATCACCATCGCATGGTAATAACTGATACGAGTTGTCGTGCGAGCACCCTTTGGTCGTGGAATTACCAAAAAGTGGGTTGAGAAGAGGATGACCAAACACAAGAATAATTCAGTATAAGGCGAAGGAAAATACCTTCTCTAGATTATGAAGAACAAAGATTACAATCTCTCCCTCACAATCTCACTAGAATTGAGAACAACCCCTCAACTCTCTCTCTAAACCCTAATACAATTATTAGAATTTCTCTTGATCACTTCTCTCTGAGATCTGATTACAATCTAAACCCTAATCCTTTTGATCAGGATTTCACTTAGACCTAAAACCCTTTAGGACTACATCTTGGCCTCTAACCTCCTTGTTTAGAACCCTAAACAATCCCTATTTATAGGGTTTACAACATGGTGGTAATCTTGTAAATAAACAAGTCCAAAAAGGATCAGGAATCCCTGTCAAAACAGAATCCAAAACGAACCAGGAAAAGCCAAATATCGCGATCCGGTCGACCGCCAATCCTGGTCCGGTCGACCGGCCAGAGCGCTTCTGCAAACCCTGCCTTGTGCAGGTTTCTCCGGTCGACCGGCATGGGTGCCGCGGTCGACCGGCCAGAACCCGACCCCATGAGGATCACTAAGCTCCCGAGGCAGGAAAGAAGATACACCCGTATCATGGGTCCCCCCTTTAGGAACTTGAAGTCCCATTCAAGTTAAAACTTCAGCTGAGAGAACTCGCGAGCCCCTCCTTCTTTTCTGAACCACCTGGCCCTGCTAGGAATCTGATCTCGACGTCCGATCGGAAACAACTCATTCATCCCGCGTCTCGTCGTAGTCACCTTTTGCTCCAAATCGCAATCCTCTTTCGATGGTTGTTCTGGAACTCTAATGCACAGCGAGACAAACTTCTTGCTTGCATTCACTAACCTCTTCGCTCGCGTCACCGTCCCCAAGCTTGTTTCCCTCGGAAGAGATGTCGAACGAAATATGAACTTTTCACCACCCTTGGTGAATGTATACTTCTGAGCCCGCCTCTCGTAGATCGCATATCTATCCCATAAGTACGGATTGCCCAGTATAATCTGACAAACATCCAATGGAACTACGTCGCATGTGACCTCGTCAATATACGACTCATGGAGCGCAAATCTTACAGTGCATTGATCAACTACACATAGCTTCTCCTCCTTCTTAATCCACCCTAATGGATAGGGCTTCGGATGCCTGACCGTCTTCAGACCCAGCTTCTGAACCAAGGCTTCAGATATCAAATTCTTCTCGCTGCCCGGATCAACTATGGCATCAACCAAACTGGTCTTCACTTGCAACTTAAGAACAGAGAGCTGCTCTCTCGGGTCGTCGTCCTCTTTCGTGGCCTGTTTCCCCGTCATAAGATTGAGACTGCTATTAGGCTCTGTCATCCCCGGGACTTCTTTCGGACCTTGAGCTATCATGCCTGCCTTTTTCTCCTCCTTCTTCTTCAACCCTCTTGGCTTTAGATGAGGATACTTCTCCCAGCACCGATCAGCTTCGTGTCCTGTCTTCTCGCAATGACTACAAATCAGCCCTGCTTTCCCTGGATCACCCTTCTTCTTCTCATCCTTAGACTGAGAACCACTAGACTCGCCTCCAACTTGCTTTGCATCCCCCTTTGCTTCGTTGCTCTTCTTTTGCTTGCCCTCAATGGCAATGGCCTTCACGCTCGCATCTGCAATAGTCTCGACCGTGAATAACCTCATCTCCTTTCGGATGTAATCGCTCAATCCCGCCATATACTTCATCGTTCATAACACGGAATATTCTCTGTCGCAATGGTTAAGGACCATCGCCCTGCTGCTGAACTCCGTAGTGTATTCTTGAACGGTTTTTGATTGACCTTTGGCGCCACATACACTCTCGCTCCAACGTTCTTCAGGAATCCACCGGAAGAACTGTTTCGCTAAGTCGTCCTTGAACTTGTTCCAGGGGGGGGGGGGGGGGGGGGGGGGGGGGGGGGGGGGGGAGACAAAAACACCCGCTTCTCTCTGCTTGCAATAGGATTTCACCATTCAAATGCATGTCCTGAAAGCTTAAAAGTCGCGAACACAATCCTTCTCTTTGACGAAAGCCATAAAGAGTAACTACGGTCTCCATCGCGCTCGATCCAGTCATTCAAGCCTCTGACGTCAACCTCCCATCAGAAATAGGATCTCCACTCTGATAATCAATCTTCAGATTCTTGGTAAGAATTCTTACCCTTGATGCGTGCAGCTTTGACGGTCTCGGTGCCTCCTCGTCGAGCTGAAAGCCGCTCTCTCCACGCGGATCTATAGGTTCTTCTTAGACTAGAAGAAGATTCCCCTTTTTCGTTCCCTCTCTTGATGAGACGCGCGAGTTTTTGTGTAGCGCGACCCTACTCGTCTCGGATCTGCTCTCTAATGCATCAATCTTGCTGATATCTCCTGTCAGCCATACTTCTCCTTCCTTAAATCCTGGACTTCTTCCAATGAAATAAGGATCTCGCCAAGCTTCTTGTATGAGGACCGAGTAAGGACCATACACAGGATGCCCTTCACCGGATCTGATGCTCTGATACCAACTTGATACGAGTTGCCGTGCGAGCACCCTTTGGTCGCGGAATTACCAAAAGGTGGGTTGAGAAGAGGATGACCAAACACAAGAATAATTCAGTATAAGGCGAAGGAAAATACCTTCTCTAGATTATGAAGAACAAAGATTACAATCTCTCCCTCACAATCTCACTAGAATTGAGAACAACCCCTCAACTCTCTCTCTAAACCCTAATACAATTATTAGAATTTCTTTAGAACCCTAAAACAATCCTATTTATAGATGTGCTAACGTGGATGGCAATCTTGTAAATAAACAAGCCCAAAAGAATCAGGAATCCCTGTCAAAACAGAATCCAAAACGAAACAGGAAACCCAAAAATCGCGATCCGGTCGACCGCCAGACTTGGTCCGGTCGACCGGCCAGAGAATTTTCTCAAACCCTGTGCTGTGCAGGTTTTCCGGTCGACCGGCATGTGAGCTGCGGTCGACCGGACAGAGAACTGTTAGATTTCCCTGTTCTTTGGCGTTTTGCTTCTTCCGACTTCTTTCGCCGTCTTCTTTGGCTCCATCCACGCTCTTATTCTCAAGATACCATGAGAATCACCTATCCTCAAGCTCCCATGAGGATCACTAAGCTCCCGAGGCAGGGAAGAAGATACACCCGTATCAATAACAAAGTTGATTTGATATGATTTACTACTACGTTATTATTACTTAATGAAAGAGTAAAAATTCTTTCAGACATTTCTAATCTTATTAATTCTTCCCTTATTAAATTTGCAACATTTACATCTCTGTGTGATTCTTCAAATGAAATAAAATAAATAACTCTTTTAAACATTTGTCAACTATCATCAATCCAGTATGCTATGATATATAAGTAGTCAATTTGTGCTATAGATGTCCAAATATCATAAAATAGAGAAAATCTACAATTTAAACTTTGAAAATATGCAATTAGACATTTGCTAACTATAAATAATTTTATTCCCCCCCCCCCCCTCGATGAAGTACGCGAGAGATTAAGAGTAGTGACGAGAAAGAGCAATGAATTCTGGGATGAGATAATGACATGAACAATCCTGCTCTATTTATAAAGACATAACATAGTCAAATGCACCCAAAAACACCTCAAAAATTTAATTATTTAAATGTATCTTTGTCAAAATACCAAAATAGCTCATCTTAGCCTGATTGAACGCAGGTTCGGGTTGGGATGGTTGCCGCTGGGGGCGGGGGTCGCCCCCAACGGCTAGATTCTTGCCCGTTGGGGCGGGCCAGTCACGAGTCAGGCCCGGTTTTGACCTGACCAATCCCAACAGCTAGAAATCTAACCGTTTAGGAAGGGCCGGGTCCGGGCTACCTAGACCCGGCTCAGGGCTTATGGCAAGGTGCTCATCCTTTCCCAGGCTGAGCACATTGGTGCTCGGGCTCAAAACTTTCTCGAGCCTGATTTTCTAGGCCCGGGCCGCAGGCTTTTTTGACACTCCTGCATTTAAGCATAGAAAAGCGGGGATTGAAGTTTTTTCAGATACGTACGAGGTCCATCCACATCCAATACCAAATGGATCAACTCAACATGATGGATCCACATCCAGGTCCAATAAATCCACTTATGGATCCAAATCATACAGCCAACTCACGGCTTACAACATATCCAGCTTTTGAATAATTTACAGTATTTCAACCCTCCTGCTGTAGCTGAGGACTAAAGCCTCTTTGTCTTTATTTTTATAATAAAGTGGGCCCTTAAAAACACAAATAAAGAATACCCAAGGCCTCTTCCACATTCTCCAACTCCAATGGCGAAATATCTTTGGAATACAGACAAAACCCCACACTGTAGATCCAACGCCAGTCGTTGAATCCTCCTGCGCTTGCATCGGGCCCCCCTTTCGATCTCTCTCTGAGAGCAAAGTCATCAACACGAGAGGGAATTGAAGATTTAGGGCAGTCTTTTTTGGGGGGAGATTTGGGGTGAGTTTTGTGGTTTTGATTTATGGGTTTGAGATCTTCCATGCATTGTGGGTTTTGGGGTTGAAACTCTTTGAAAGATGAGATCTTTATCATTTTTGCTAGATTTTAGATGGTTAGATTTCTTGTTTCTAAAGCAAACAAAAAAAAAGTTGTTTTTCTATACGCTGATTTTGAATTCATAGCAAATCGATTACTTTAGATTGAAGAAAGAAAGTAAAAATGAATTATTTTCGCTCTTTTATATAACTTGCTTGAATGCCAGTGGTTTACCAGTTATATGTTTAAGCAGGCTAATGTCTTAATTTATTGTACTTGACAACTTTTTGTTCTTTTAATTTTGCTTGTATATAGGGTTCTTGATTTGAACGGTTTTATTGTATCAGGAAATAGTAAGATTCATGAGAGTTAATTGCTACTACAGGATTAGGTTGAGATTTTCCCTCATTTTTTAGTTTTTTTTATGGACCTTCTTGTCATCAAATTAAGGTTTATAGACCACCTGATCATTCCACAAATTTGTCTGCAAATGAAATTTAATAAACCAACTTTTGTGCAAACTGGAAAACAGTACATTTTGATCTCCAGTATCAGTATGTCGGGTCGTGGTAGCTACTGATAGAATGCATATATGCCTTCATGCTTAATGGCTGAGCATATGTTTCTTGCAGAATCTGCATTCGATTGCTTCCATTCTTTTTCTATTGATAATCAACTTCTTTCCGCAAAGCGCATTCCACGCTACCTGTCCTTCTAACTGAATGCTGTTATGTTATATTTGCTGCCAAACGTCTTGTGGACTTAACAAGGTTAAGTAATGGATATTTGATCTCCTTGGTCTTATTGTCACAGATATTGCGATGGTGTTGGTAGTAAAACAGTACCGCTGCATGCACTCTCCAACGTGCTTATGCACAAAGGGTCATCTTAGTGAAGATGTAATTTTCCTTGTATTTCAACGTCTAAACTGGAATCCTAGAATGATTGCCTTGATGTCATGTGTCTGCAAATGGTTTGATGACATTGCAAAGAGGGTTTTGTGGAAAGAATTTTGTAGGACAAGGGCTCCTAAAATGATGTTAGATCTTCAATCCAGTGGAAGCCATAGTGTTGATGGGAACTGGAAAGCACTTGGGAAGCTACTTGTTTATTGTTCAGGAAGAGGTCTATTTAGTAGAATCCGCGTACCAGGCCACTTTGTTTATAGGACAAGGTTTTCCAGAACATCTGGGAAAAGTTTTCTTATTCCTCAATGTCGAACGGATGTTTTGTATGTGTCAGACCCTTGTGAACATCTTGACCAAGGAGAGCAGGGCGATGTGGGATTTTTTCGTGGGGTTTTCGTGTCATTTTCTGTATCAAGAGTTAGGAAGATGCTAATTGATCGTGATGCCAAGTTACATCCTACTGAGGTGTGTCCATATTGCAAGGCAAAGCTTTGGAACATGCTGCAGGCAAAGATGATTCCTAGAAGCGCTTCCTGCAGATTGGGTGCCTATGAGGACTGTGTGGAGTATTATGTGTGCCTCAATGGTCATATGCTTGGGATTTGCACTCTTTTACCCCTTTCAGATTCTGATGAAGTTTCTGAATTGGAGTAAGGCATGGAAATTGTTTCAGGTATGCCATTTTGATCACTTTTAATTTATTTTTTTGTATCAATTGCGTACAATAGGTTTTAGAGACCATCTTCTGCTATTGTCAACTTTGTTACCTGGGTACTTCTATCATGAAGCCGTACACGTGCCCGACACTTCCTGTGCCCATACCTGTACCCGTCTGTACCCGATACTTCTTGGACACTCCTTAAATATATGCATACATTTATGCAAACGTGTGCTTAGTTGTACAATGCCCGTTTTAATTTTTTTTTAAACACTCGTCATACACTCCTTGGACATATATCATACATTTGACATCCATTTAGGAAAATGTTAGACAAGGAACGAGTTTGTATCAGCCTATATTCAGTTAAAAACTATGACTTCAAAGGATTGTCTGTGTATCTAGCGCATAACTATAACTTTAGCCCGTGAGTTTTAGCTGTGTCCCCTTGCCCTACCTTTTCCAAATTTGACGTGTGCCGTACCCGTATGCATACAACTTATATTATCATTTTCACTTTACTAGGCATAGGGGGGTCTGCTATAACTCTATTTATTAATTCATATGTTTCTTCAGTATTCCTATATATTAATTCCTGAGGGTTTATATGTTTCTATTTATTTATTCCTGAGGGTTCATACTCGTATAACTTAGATTATCATTTTCACTTTACTAGGCATAGGGGGGTCTGCCAACATTCTTTTTCAATGATCAAAAGGACTTGTTGCTATATATAACTCTATTTATTAATTCCTGAGGGTTTATAGGCATAGGGGGTTCAGCACATGATCAGTGATTTTTCTCGTGGTATAACACTAGTTTCTTCAGTATTCCTCTATTTTCTTTGATATTTGCAGGAAACATTTTCTGAAAGTTTCTACCTTCCCTCC